AAAAACTATTCTGTAATACTAGCAATCGAAATCACAGAACCTCAGCGAACCCAACAAACGGAGCAAATCATACTTGACACTTTGTTTATTTGAAAAAATAATGTAACAATATAGAAAAGAGGGGAGAAGTATTCAGATTATCTATGTTTGAAAAATGAGGCCAAGCCTCTAAATTTATAAACAATGAAAGGGTCAGATAAAGAGGTGCAATTCAAAAGGTGTCTCTTCCACTTTCCATTCACACCCTAAAGAAAATACCCAGCAATCCCCCACATGAATGGGGAATGACCATATTTATAAAAACATGCATGAAAACTGTGTGATTCGCAAGTAAGGATTATTCGCATCTGGATAAGTAGGTTTCCCTTTGAACTTTCCGTAGTGAGCTTATGTCGGATATACTCGGTCAATCAGTAGATTTGATATCTTTGAACCGTTAATCTTTGGTGTATATCTAGACAACCATAAGTCACACAATCAATCCTTAACCGTCTTTGGTTCTCATTGTTGTGTTAGTTTTAGCCATGAACACCGCTTGGTTTATAAGTGCATAGAGAACTGGCCTTACTGAATTCTCCTTGAAGCGGCTTACACTTTACACTTAAATAGGTGATTCCTAAACGTGTAATCCCGTAGATACACTATTTGATATACCATGTATCAAACTTAAAAACATTAAAAAGCTTCAACGCTTTATCCTTGATACTGAACATTGTCTCATCATAAGAATGGACCAAATATTTTTATTTGACAATATTGAACCGTCATTAATGACTTTGTTTGATCTCCTTGAACCTAGATCTTGGGATCTTCCGTCTTCTAGGTAGAGTTACCACCACAATGACTTGTCTTTGGCCATAGTCTCATTTCCCTCGATGATCTTTCAACTACCTCTCTAGTTAGGCCTTTTGTAAGTGGATACGACACATTATCTCTTGACTTCACGTGGTCAATTATGATTATTCCCCTAAAGAGTAGTTGTCTACCAGTTATGTCTTCGTCGTATATGACGAGATTTTTCATTAAACATAATGCGTCTAACCCTTCATATTGTCGCTTGACCATCGCAATGTACGCATATAGGTGCCAATATTTTGGGCTAAGATGGAATTTCTTGAAGAAATTTCAGCGCCATTCAGTTTCTTCACTGGCCTTATCTAAGGCTATAAACTCAGCTTTCATTGTAGAGCGGGCAATGTATATTTATTTGGATAATTTTTAAGACATCACTCCTCCACCGACTGTAAAAATATATCCATTTTTGGATTTATAAACAGTTAAACCGGCAATCTAATTTGTATAACTATACCCCTTCATTACCAAGATATTTATTGTATTACAAAGCATAATTTTGAGTATATTTCAAATATCTCAAGACTCATTTTATTATCACGACAGTTCAATGCGAACTTCCTTATGTCGTGGACTAATACTTCTCGACTTTCTATTGCATATCAGATTATTGACTACACTTAATAACATTATATTATATCAACAACTGGAATGATTGGTATTAGTTGTGGCCACAACCTTTTAATATATAACATATTTCGCAATCACTCCGTCTTTTCTAGCATTTTTATGCTATTTATTCTTATTCCAAAATGCAATACATGTCTATATGAGAAATTATAGCACCTTTATTCATGAAATAAATCCATAGACTTGCTATGGATTTTTATCATTTTTATCAGTTGGTTCACCACATTATAGACCAACGTATTAATATATCCATTCTAGAAAGGCACGTGAACAACCTTCAAATTGGTAGTTTCATTAACTAATCATCACTAAGATTGAACAAGTAATGAATTTACGAACTACCATATCAAAGTTATTCTAAATAATATAGACATTGAGTCTAACATTAGCTTTTATCATGCATAAGCTAAACACTCCCACATTTCAAATATTTCATGTGCCTTTCAAACAATGACTATATAATTTGGAGTATTCTTAATATAAATAAATTTGTTATACTCATTAATTTGAAACTATTTGATAATATTGTTTGGTCAAATTTTGTATACCATTATTTTGGATACTTGTTTCAATCCGTAAAGCGACTTAACAAGTCGACACACCTTCTTATCTTTTCCAGGAACCACAAATCCTTCAGGTTGTTCCATATAAATTTCTTCCTCCAAATCTCCATTTAAGAAGGTTGTCTTCACATCCATCTGATGGATTTTCAAGGCCATACACGATGGCTAACGCTATTAACATCCGAATAGATGTAATTCTCGTTATCAGCGAGAAAGTGTCAAAGTAATCAAGACCTTCTAATTGTCTAAACCCTTTGACACTAACCTTGCCATATATTTATAAATAGCACCATCAACTTTTATTTTTCTTTTGAAAATCCACTTAGAATCCATACATTTATTTCCTGGAGGAAGATCAACGAATTCCCAAGTATGATTACTTATATGGATTCTATCTCACTATTGTCTGCCTCTTTTCACAGTTGTGCTTCCGAGAAAGACATAGCTTCTTTAAAAGTTTGAGGCTCATTTTCTAACAAGAATATCAGAAAATCTGCTCCAAATGAAGTAGACGTCCTTTGACGTTTACTACGCCTTGGATTCTCCTTATTAGGAGTATTTTCTTTTGTTTCTTCCCGGGGTCGCTTAGATCTTTACTAGACGACTCGCATTTCTTTTTATACGGATAAATATTTTTAAAGAATTCAGCATTATCTGATATACCATCGTATTAATATGTTTGTCGAGATATTCTGATTTATGAACCAGAAAATGATATGCCTTACTATTTGTTACATATCCTATGAAAACGCACTCAACAATTTTTGTCCTATTTTTACCCTTTAGGTTTATGACTTGTACTTTAGCCAAATAACCCCACACTTTAAAATATTTCAAGTTGGGCTTTCTTCCTTTCCATTTTCATATGAAATGGATTGTGTTTTGTCACGAAAAACTCGATTGAGTATTCGGTTAGCTGTAAGAATAGCTTCTCCCATAAGTTGAGGAGTAAACCAAAACATATCAACAAAGTATTCATCTTCTCTTTTAATGATAGATTCTTTTTTTTTCACAATCTCATTTGATTGAGGCGTGTATGGGTTGTTGTCCCATGAATAATACCATATTTCAAAATATATTTCTTTATATTCACAACCCCTATTGCTTTGTAGAGCTAATCACATGAACTGTTGTTTGTGTCACGACAGAGCTAGAATAAATGGTGAAGTTTTTAATCTTCAAACCAATCTGACACAACCAGAATTAATAAATGATAAAGTTTTTAATCTTTCAACCGAGTAATATCTAATACAACCGGGTCTAATAAACAGTAAATTTTTTAATCTTCAAACAGAATAATAAACTAAAGTAGAAAATCACAAAGATTTTAAACACCAAATCGAGTAGAAAGTCACTTAGACTTTAATCTCCACTAATAAGTAGAAAGTAACAAAGACTTTAATCTCTACGAACGAGAAGAAAATCACGCAGATTTTAATCTCTAAGCAGGGGGAAACCACGAAGATTTTTGTCTCCATAACTGGAGTAAAAATCGCAAGGATTGTAATTCCCTTTCCAACTAATTATTTCAACTAAAATCATTATAACACTTTAAATAGTTTGATCTCTTACTATAATCAAACAAATATATGTATATTTTTATATATCTCAAAAATATTTTCAAGCATTAGTGTAAACCTAATTCATATCTTACAAACCTTAATCTTTCACATTAGCATGTTACCAAATTATAAACCAACAAATTGATTAAAAGGAATAACAAAATTAATTAAATACGTGTTATTCTCAATCATGCATATNATATATATATATATATATTGAATTTTATAAATCACAAGGATAAATAATTAATAATAGAAAAAGAAAGTAGAACCCGAATTTCTCTGTTGCCTCTTCTTTGACGTGAAGAAGAGGAGCCACTTTCTTTTTTATCCATTGCTTTAGTTTTGTTTCTTTGGCCATCTCCAAATTCAAAATAGCAATGAAAACTCTTCTAATTATTGTTATTTTTTTCTGCAATTCTCTAGTACAAGTATTGCATCAAATTTGATATTCAACCACCATTTTATTGTCCTTCATACTTGCTATAATCATCGGCTTTAAAATAAAGAACTCTCCAATAACTTAAACGGTGCCACAAAACTACAGGGTTTGTTGTGCATTATTCGATGTCGATCATAACAAGGAAGCAATAATTGAAGAAGAAAATTCCACCCTTGGAAGCATTATTCACTGGAAAAGTCCATATGGTGGCAGAGCCATGGTAGAAATTATGAGAACTTCATAATCCAAAAGTATCACATATATGTTTGACTAGGTATAAATATCTGTTAAGGAGCTTCCACCATGGCAGAACTTGAAGATTCTAGAAGAAGAAGAAATGAGAGAAAGGCAATCTCTATTATTAGCTAACGAAGAAGAGGAATGAATCGTTGTACAACACTATCAACTAACTACTGTATTTATACAAAATATCAACTAACTAATATTTAGTAGTTATAACTAATTACTCCTAACTAATAAATAGCTGGAACCCACTATACTCAACACTCCCCCTTAAGCTGAGGGATGAAATAAATCTTTCATTCTCAGCTTGCCTAATGGGTATTCATGTTGTGGATTGCATAGACTCTTAGTCAACAGATCTGCTAGCTGCTCAGTTATTCTGGTGTGTTGAGTTTTAATCTGACTTTGAAGAAGCTTTTCTCTCACAAAATGACAATCAATGTCAATGTGTTTGGTTCGTTCATGAAAGATAGGATGAGCTGCAATTTGTATAGCAACCTTGCTATAATAATGCAGCTGTATAGGTTGTACTAGTTCAGTTCCTAGCTCCTTAAAGAGTCATGTTATCCACACCACTTCTGCTACAGTAGAGGCCATACTTCGAAATTTAGCTTCAACAGAGCTCCTGGACACAATTCCCTATTTTTTAAAGCTTTCATGATATCAGTGCTTCACCAAATTTCACTGCATAGCCTGTCACTGATCTCCTTACTCTACACAAGCTCCCCAATCAGAATCACAGTATGCAAACAGAGATTTGCTTACTTTTGCAAGCATAAACAGTCCAAGTCCAGGAGCAGTTTTGATATACCTCACCACTCTTTGGGCAGCTTCCATGTGAGACACCTTAGGTACATGCATATACTGACTGAGAACTTGAACCACAAAGGCAATGTCAGGCCTTGTCATGGTTAAATATAGCAACCTTCCAACTAGTCTCTGATATCCTCCCTTGTCTTCAAGTTCCTTATCAACTGTAGATCTAACATCTGGTATTTGCTTGTCAAACTCAATGGATGTGAGCTTGTGATTGAACTCCAAAGGTGTTGCTGTTGGCTTTGCACTTGCTAGTCCTAGTTCAGAAACTAGTTCTAAAGCATACTTCCTTTGGCACATAACTATTCCTTCCTGAGATCTAGAGAACTCAATCCCTAGAAAGTATTTAAGTTCACCAAGATCTTTTATCTTGAACCTCTCCTGCAAATCCTTTCTGACTTGTTTGATCAGTTTTAGACTACTTCCAGTTACTAAAAGGTCATCCACATATACTAGAATGACTACTAACTCTGAATTCATCTTCTAAGTAAACAAAGGATAGTCATAGTGCCTTGAGAAAATCCCATATCTATAAGAGCTTCAGTTAGTTTCAGGTTCCACTGCCTAGGTGCTTGTTTTAATCCATAGAGTGACTTATGCAATCTACACACATGCTGACACCCCCTGGCTTGAAAAGCCATTAGGAACATGCATATACACCTCTTCAAGAATATCTCCTTGAAGAAAAGCATTATGAACATCCATTTGGAACACATACCATCCTGAAGCAGTAGCTAATGCAACTACAGCCCTCATAGTAACTATTTTAGCTATAGGAGAAAAAGTTTATGTGTAGTCCAACCCTTCTTGTTGACTGTAACCCTTGGCCACTAGCCTGGCCTTATATCTTCCCACTTCACCAGATGACTTGTATTTGACTTTAAACACCCACTTGAAACCTATAGGAATCTTGCCAGGAGGAAGAGGAACAATAGACCAGGTGTTGTTTTCTTCAAGAGCTGTAATTTCAGCTTACATAGCCTCAACCCACTTGGGATCCCTACAAGCTTCTGAGAAGGATTTGGGTTCCACAATAGCTGAGAATGCAGCAAGGGAAGCTTTATAATCAAAGGACAACTGATCATAAGCCACATAGTTTGACATTGGATATGAAGACTTCTTTGGTGGAACAACATAATCTGCTAGCCACACATGTGGCTTGGTGGTCCTAGAGGACTTCCTGTGTGCTATGGATGGAGCAGATGGTTCACAAGCTGAGGCATGAGGAGAAATTGGTGAAGATAGATTAGACTGACCATGATCTTGGGAACTGAGATAGAAGGAGATGAGGTCTCAGCTGAGAGGCTGCAGGGAAATCAGCATCAGCAGAAGAAGAATCATCAAAGAAAACAGCTGGTTGTGTAGGTTGTTCTACAAACTCCAATACATGAAATAAGGGAGAACCACCAGAAGACATATGCTTGAAGGGGAACACTTCTTCTTTGAACACAGTGTCCCTGCTAGCAAAGAACTTTTTGGAGCACAAATCATAGAGGATATAGCCCTTATGAGAGGAGGAATACCCCATGTGAACAACTGAAATTGCTCTGGGGCAAAACTTATCCCCTTTCTTTATAGTAGTGGCATAACAAAGGCTGCCAAATACTCTTAGATGCTGTAATGAAGGATTTCTTTGGAAAAACTTATCAAAGAGAGATTTTCCTTGTAGTAGTACAATAGGCAATCTGTTTAGAAGGTAGACTGCAGTAGAGACACATTCTCCCCAGAATTTGAGGGGTAAGAAAGCTTGAAATCTGAGTGCTCTAGCCATGTCTAGGATAGACCTATACTTTCTCTCAACGACCCTATTTTGTTGAGGGGTATATGTACAATAACTTTGATGTACTATACCTTGAATCTTTAACAAGGTCTGCATTTGGTCATTAAAAAACTCGGTGCCATTGTCTGTTCTTAGGCATTTGAGTCTGTGATCAAACTGTGTTAAGGCCATTGCTATAAAGTTTTTAATCACCTCAACAATATCTGATTTAGAATGAAATAGAAATAGCCAGGTATATCTAGAATAATTATCTACCAAGGTAAAAAAAAAAACCTCTTTCCATCATGCGTAGGCACCCTATAGGGTCCCGAGACATCACCATGCACAATGTTAAAGATATATTTAGAGCAAGAAGAGCTAGTAGGAAAAGGTAGTCTTGATTGCTTGGCTATAGGACATACAGTACAATGATGTTCCTTCAGCTGCATACTATGCAAAGCATCTACAGATCTGAAGACCTTTAAGGGAGCATGAACTAATCTTTGATGCCACAAAGAAGATACAACACAAGTCTTATTGTTTGTTAGTTTACTACATTTATTTGTGTCACCTGGAATGGTATTTACAATTGAATAGGAATGAGTGCCTAGGTGATTGAGTATTGCTCTGTCTTCTACCTTGAGATTGTACATACTCAACTCTTCCTTATCAATCCCCAACACCTTCCCACTTGAGAGTTGCTGAAAGATACAGAAATCAGGATAAAATACTGCTAGACATTGCAACTCCTTTGTGAGTTTGGACACTGAGAGGAGATTATATTTAAACTCTGGAATGTGGAGAATGTTCTAAACTTTTTTATCCTTGAAAAATACCAATATGAGTAATAGACACTTGTTCTCCAATTGGTAAATGGACTTTACTCCTAACATTTTCTGGTATTTCATCATACTTCTCTAGCAGGTGCAAACTATGAACCATATAGTTTGTTGCTCCTGTGTCTATAATCTAGTTACTATGCATCAAGCTTGTCATAAATGCATGTATACTACCTGTTGTCCCTGCAGTGACAACATAGGCAACAGGTTCAGCCTCTTTGTCCTTGTTCAGCAAATGCAGAATCTGCTGGTACTGTTCCTGAGTAAAGAAGTGAGCTGGAGAAGTTGGTGTCTGATGTCCTTGACCTTGTGACTCTGAAGTTGGAATACCAGAACTTGTCACACTGTTAGCCTGAGTATTTTGTGCCTCTCCTTTTATTTTGTTTTTGAAGTTAGAAGGATAGCCATGAAGCTTAAAACAGTTCTCTCTAGCGTGACCCTTATATTTGCAGTAATAACCCCAAACTGCACCTTTACCAAATGAGTTTCTAGGTCTATAACCTCCATTAGAATTAGTATTAGTCTGTTCTCCACCATTGTAACCTCCTGTATAACCTCCATTAGAGTTATTATTAGTCTGTCCTCCACCATTGTAACCTCCAATATACACATTATTGCTCATCATAACAACTTCATTACTCTCAACATATACACCTTTTCCATTAATTCTCTGACTCTCCACATTAACTATCATAGCATAAGCTTGGTTCAGATTAGGCAAGGGTCGAGTCATGAGGACCTGATTCTTTGCATTCTCATAGGATTCATTTAGCCCTGTGAGGTACTGATACAATTTCTATATATGATAGTGTTCTACATGTTTCCTTGATTCAGCATAACCACAAGTAGGTGGTGGAGTTAAAGTTTCATACTCGTCCCACAACTCTCTCAATTTAGTGTAATACACAGACACATAGGATATGCCTTGAGTTAATGTGGTAATTTTCTTGTGCAAATAGCAAGCACTAGACGCATTATCTTTATCAAATATTTCCTTAAGATCCTCCCACACTGTGTATGCATCGGAAGCATAGATCACTGAACTAATTAAACTTAGTGAAACTGTGTTCATTATCCAAGCAAGTACAATATCATTGCATGTAGCCCACAATTCATGCAAACTAGTATCATATTTGTTTTTTCTACAAGTGCATAGGACAAAGCCTAATTTATTTTTACCATGCAATACGATTTTCATAGATCTACTCCAAATAGAATAGTTTTTTGAACCTTGAAGCTGAATAGGGATGAGAACAGAACCTTGAGTATCGGAAGGATGAATGTAGAGAGGATGATTGTGTTCGACAAGTTCTGTAGACATTGAAGCAGCAACAAGAGAACCAACTACCTCTTCATTGATCGACATTATCACAGTAGCAAATGCTTTACCAGAGATCTTCCCAATTTTATCAAATTCACACAAATTTAGACAAGATCTGGCCGCGATTCAACCAGAAAATCAAAAATTCCCAAACCCTAAGTTGAGCAGAGATATTTCTATGTTGAAAAATAGCTCGATCAAATCGATGAAAGGTTGATGCTTCGATACAGTTGGATTATTCAAGTTCTCTCACAGTTGAGCTTAAGGAGATCGAGCACCAAGCTCTGATACCATGTTAAGGAGCTTCAACCATGGCAGAACTTAAAGATTCTAGATGAAGAAATGAGAGAAAGGCAATCTCTGTTATTAGCTAACGAAGAAGAGGAATGAATCGTTGTACATCTCTATCAACTAACTACTGTATTTATACAAAATATCAACTAACTAACTTTTAGTAGTTATAACTAATTACTCCTAACTAATAAATAGCTGGAATCCACTATACTCAACAATATCCCACTCTAATACAATTGCACCACTTGGAGTAGGGCGTTGACTGGCACCTTTCTAGTATTCCTGTTTGGTCGTTGTCTCACCACAACGATTTTTCTTTCCTTCGAGGCTCCGGGATAAAGATACAATCTTGCGTAAAAATTGTGAAAAAAAAGATTCGATTCATGTTTGCAAAAACAACGTTCCCTTCTTTTTCTCATATTTTTATAACANTTATAACGGATTAATTCAATGAATTAGAACGAATCAACTGATTGATGGTATATATCTTTTAGACTATAGTTAATGGATACTCTTAAATCATAATTCTAATTATATAGACTATGATTCCATACCAGAAAAATTTTCAAATTCCTTTTCAGTTTTGGAGTTTTCAACAACAAACACCTACTCTTTTTTAGAATTGAAATTCATGCTTTCATGTCTTGAAATAAAGAACCTTTTGTCAGAAACGGCCACGTTATTTGATGTTGGGCATATTTTTATATATTTTGATACTATTTACTCTATATTTTTATCCTTTTTGATTGTATTTTATATTATATATGCCCAACTAAGTTAAGAATTTAATTCTACACTAATTGAGTGTTGATGCAAAATTTTTAGGAATAAAGAATGTCAAAATTTGAGACAAAAGAAAAGTTGAAAATTCTTGGTCTTGTTGGGCGAGACGTAACGAGTAGAAGCGCAAAATGGAGCAACTTTGATGTTGAAGTTGATGCATATGGCGTTAAGGAAGAAACAAGCATCTGACAAGGCAACTTTGACTCCTAACTTAATTGTTTTGTCCCAAGCATTATGTACTTAGTATAAAAGCACAAGATAAATTCTTAGAAGAGAAGGCGGCAGACTCACTGGATTCAGCGCCAGCGCTTCGCGCTGGTCTGGACGCTACAGTTGCGGGATTTTTCTATTTTATCTAGGACAAGGTTATTTCAGCAACTCGTATAAAAGGGGTTCTAAACCTAACTTAGAGGGGATCTAACATATTTTTGAGAGGAGAACACACCATTTTGAAGGCGAGAACATAAACCACGCTTGGAGGAGATTTTCAACTAGTTTTTCTTCTCTTCTCTTCCTTTAATTTCATAGTTTATGAGTTCTAGAGTTTTGGGTGATACATGAACGTTGTAGTTTGAAGCTTGAATTTTTCTTATTATTTTATAATATTAGTTTATTTATTCAATCTTGCACATAATTATTTGATTGCTTGATCACCAATTGAATACTATCTACGAATCTAGGATTGAACTCAGGAGAGGGAATTTTAGATTGCAAATAAGATTGAATAGACCAAGATCTTGAACTCGAGCATCAGGAACGG